GTGAAGTGTTGCTTCAGGATTGGCGCTCAACTTTTCCTGTGCTCCGTATTTAAGATACACAGCTTATACAAGTGGATAGCTCTGTCAACCTTGGCAGATGGGTGTCTGCTGGTGGTACCATTAGAAGGAATTTTATTTTGCATCGCCAAAGCTCAGTCGACGTTTGCAAATCCGCATCACTTGTGGCGTCGTCGATATGTATCGCTATTGGTAAAGGGTCTTATTTACAATGTTGCCGTTCTGGAAGTGTTCCTATATAGAGGCGAGTTATGTCCAGTTCATGTAGACAACATGCACCGGCTCTCGGCCTTCGGAAACGGGTGCTTGAGGAGGATTGCTTGTGTGTGGTTGCAACACACACCTGAAACAATGAAGTCAGACGTCGTGTCTTAGTGAATGAGGATACTCTCTTTGACATGCTGGTTTAACTGCTCCAGTTAATTTGGCTCGGACACGTCCTGCGTGTGTCAACTGAGCGCTTTTCCTATCCCAGTCCATTTGCTTGTGCAGGTTTCAAATGGAAGAGACCACTTAGTATTCATCCATCCACCTAACGACAGCAAATGAAATAGTCGACTTCACGTCTTGCCACCATTGAATGCACACGTCTGCCTGGTTGGGGATCAAAAGACGAGGAGTGCCGATGGTTGGAAACAATCAGTATATAGCTTGTAATCGAAACCAGTGGAGGATCTGTGTTCACATTTTTTAGCCTTGGATGTTTAATGCTTAATGATTGAAAACGACAAAAAAGTAAGATGGCGACACAATAGCTGAAGTGTGTTTATCATCTTCAGTTAATGTGGCATAGTGAAGATCCGGTGTTAAGCCTGTCTTCTTTTAACGCTTTTCATAGTTATGGTTGTCTCTGTCTATTTAATAGACTGCCGCGCATACTACTACTACTACTATTGTACTATTACCACTACTGTTGTTACTACTACATTATTCCCCTGATTGTAAGTAAACGACCGACGAGAATAGGCGAAACAGCTGAATTTAAGTTAGGCTATCGAAATATTCTTGCTTGCCATGTTTAAATAGTGAACAGCTTTTAACTAAATGTCACCGCTGCCTGCAGAGGAGTTCGGGAGTCTGTGAACAATTTCTAAAAAGTGAGAATTCCGCATCACATTCTGAATTCCACCATCTTAACCTACTAGTTACTGTCGGCAAATTAAAGCTTTGGGAGTAAAAAGGGAATCTTCGGGTAAACTAGGTAGTAAACACCAACACCACCAACGCGAGATAAACGCTTATTCTGAGTGATTGACTTTCCACCGAGTTTAATTTTCAGATCTAATATCTCGTTTGATAGTGAAATTTCAGGCACCGGTATGATGTCCCAAGTTGTTTCATATCGATGGCCCATCTCCGACTGCATAAAGTACACTTCATGAACCTTAGCATAGCAGCATTTTATTTGTTGAAGCATTAGGGGCTCCTTCCGCTGTGTTTGTGTGGCATAAATATTGCAGGTCTGTTGATGTCTATCATACCGGTGTTTACACATTTTTCTGGTTTAAGGTCGAAACAACAGAGTCTGACTTATGTGCACCTACCGTCTGTATTGTTTGCATGATTTTTCCGCTGTACTGTTGATGGCCTATGTTTCCTATTGTTATGTCACCCTTGGATCGCCACTGGTACCATCTCGGACATAGCCAAGGTAATTTTCAAAACTTTTGGTCCGTTACCGTGGTAGCTCGGGGAGGCAGCCTAACGTGTGACATCGAAAGCCACGACCAGTTACATGTTATAGAGCTCTGTGATGTACCTCTATTCTTCAATGTCTGACTTTTGTCCTTCACTGTTTTCGTCAAGCTTCAACTCTGGCACACCATGAACCAACACCACTTTGTTTATCGCGTTTTTACTTGACGTGCCCGGATTGGATTTCCGCTTCAGTCTCTTCGCCCATGGTTTATCTGGAAAAATGCGGACAATAACAGAAGAGTTCAGTAAAGCGTGGCTTGTAAAGGGAACGTTTTACAGCGCTCGTGTTTTGCCAAATGTTACTAGTCGGTCCGGAGCCTAAACGAGCTTATCTCGTAATCTTTCTGCGGGGGTTTGAATCCACGTAGGGGTGGGTGTCCTCGAGGTATTCTCAGCCCGCGTGCAATTAGTGGTGGTCGCACAGCAGCGAAGCCACCTTACGGCGTACAGCTGACAACTTATTTTTATCACTATTATTATCAAAGGTTACTCGCAGTAACCGAGGTTCCGCTACGTACGGAGCCGATGGATTTCGTGTACGGAGAGTAACACTAGTTGGGAGAACTTTCAGTCCGAGTGCACAGTTCATCTTAGCCCAGCGGTTTTGCTTCTCGGCTTGTCTGACATTTAACGATTCGCTAGTGCGTTCTGGCATGTTCGAAAATGTTACCCCATCGCCTTTCGGTTGCTTGGGAGCCGCTTGTTCTACGGTTCCTTGTGACCTGAGATTTTTCCTGTTGGAGTGTTAGCGTTGTCTTTTGTGGAAGAGGCCAGGATTAAAACAAGACGGGTCATCTGCCGCACCGTTAGTCGCACCTTCCGTTGAAGTCGACTGTTTTTGCCCAGCTGATAGCGGAGGCGATCAAGAAATTTTTGCATAACTGCTTGCCCTGTAGCATCTCGTGAGACTTGGGAGAATGTGCAAGCGGCTTGGTGTCACTGCTGTATCACCAGTGGTGTTCGTTTTTTGCTGGACTCTTGAGTCCTGTTGCTATATATTATTTTCTTTTAACAAGTCTTAGCTTGGGGCTACGTAACCCACTAATCTGTAACGCGAGTTTAGCGATTTCCACTCCCAAGACCGCAGCCAGTTTCCTTTTCCTTTTCCGAAGTAACAACCAACTTTACGCGCCTCCCCGTAAGTGTTTGAATAACCCTAACTTTTGGACTATATGAACAGACATCACAGAACCACAAACTATTTGTAGACATGCTGTGATTTCTAGTAACATTTAAGTTTATGTCTATTTCGCCGCAAAGCATGCGTGTGTTTTCCGAACTGACCTCTGTTGCCCAACTGCGTGCGCTACGATTGACCTTGGGTATGTTCACCGCAAGTCCCGTCGACAATGGTTCGAGTGCACTTTTAGGTCTCGCTGGGTACACTGTTTAAGCTGTGTTGACAATTTATTCCAATCAACATTCACGTCAGCTGGTTTGGTATTGGTTTGTCACCTGGCACAATAGTAGACAAATTCAAGCAGGCTTTGTACGGTAAGACGCACAAGAAATGCAGTCTTAAATGTAGGACGACAAAATTGCCTTTAGGTACAATGCTGAGTAGTGTAGGATATTAAATTATCTGTTTGGTAGTCTTAGAAATGTTCCGTCAAGTAAAAACTCAGTCAATGAGGGGACCCAAAACATTTGGGTTACACGAGTGTGTCTTAGCCGACGAACTGCCGAACACTTCGGTTATATTATATCAGCATGTTACCGGACTTGTATAAAAAAATAGACCAGTTCTCATAGAAGTCGGAGACCCGAATCGCTTGGGAGTATTTTCAAAGAAGTGGCAGGAAAACTGGATGGGAGAAATCCAAGTTAACACAGAGAGCACATATGTACTGCGGTACGCTGGTTCATATCCACATAATAAGAGGATGTGAACACACTTCTTGGAGCACTCCGTTTGTGACTCATTTCTCCGTGGAAGTATTGCGTAGTATTTTGCTTATTTACTACGAAGTAATGAGCTAAATTCATCCCTGAGAAACGACGTTAAAGCTAACAACAATTATGCACAGCATATCCGTCCACTTAGTGTGGACTATTCCAAAGCTATCACTACAGATCACAGATATGTGCATTTGGAAAACACCCTGTGGATGCTTCTGTTGAGTAAAGCTGCAGTGTGTGCCGTTAAATGAGCTTGTCCATAACCTTTGTTTATGTATGTCATCTAGAGGAACGATCAGCAATTCCATCTTCCATGAATAGTAATTTGAAGAAATCACTAGTCAATTTTGCGCATATGCACTAGCTAAACTTGAAGCTACTAACCAAGTGTGACAACAGTGCTTGTAACAATAGTCTGTTGTACTGGATAATCCACGAGTTCGGGATGGGTAATAGTACCAAAAACCTTCTACGCCTGCACTGACTGAGGTTGCATGCCCAATGTTTTTGGCAGCGTGTGCCTCGGATGGACCTACTGCACATTGGCTTTCGTCAGTTCTATGTATCGATAAAACTTCATAATATAACTAATTGGAAATCACATGGTTTGGTACCGACTTCAGTGTGACTTTGTCCCTGGTGTCTGTCAGCCTTCGAACACCTGAATATTCATTCGAGTCTGCTTCGACGCTAACTACGCCCAACAAGCATCAGAACGTCACAACGTCGTTTTGATCTGAAACTGCAAGACTAGTGATCCATATAGCTGAAGGTAGCATAAGTATTGCAGGTGGCAATCTAGATAATTTATTTCAATAGCGTCATTGTTTTGGGTTGTTACTTTCTCCACGTACAGGCTTAAATTTCACTGTTCGTGTGTCTGAATAACGGTAGATGGGCAGGATGCTACCAACTAATTAAGGGTTTGAATGATAAATATGAAATTACCCACACTAAATGGAAGCATGCGTTATTGCACCAACCGAGCATATTTCATGCATGTTTAAATCTAATGTACAGCGATGCGGCTGGACCCATGTGCTGTGATTGCCCATTCTGGTTGTTTTCTGATCCTCGTTGCATATTTTAATGCGGAGCAGCCTGCTATATCATAGTTATGTAAGCGATCACTCATTATTTTCAAAAATCATGAGCGTTCTTCTACATTGGCTGAATGTAAAACCCTTTCTTCCACACGCTTGTGTTTTATTTTAGCCCAGGCGTCCTCCCAGGACTTCTAAGACACTACTGGTCAAACCCGGTCAGTGCGCCAACTCGGATGACGATATACCCACATGGCCGTCTGATCGCCCACGTGAATTGCAACGGAGGTTGATAAAGCAGTCCTTCTCAGACTTTACCTATCTCTCTAAAATGTATCATGATGAAAGTGAGGGCCATTTGTTTTCCAAATATCGTTGTCCTTTGTCATCTTACTGATCAGGGAATGAGGGTTGCATTTATAAATTTTAGATCGCAGAATGGAAGAATTCAAACGCGGGACAGCAGAATTTGTCCGTAAGTTTGTTTGGTTGATCACCTTACGTGCCCTTCGCAAATAAAATTCTCGGTGTATGCCAGCCTGGATGGCTACTGCAAACCTATTATTTGAAAACAGTTTAATGTTGGCTTCATATTTTGCAGCTGCTGACGGCCCGGCCATGTGTCCTTGTTGTAAAACTTGCCCGTCGTCACTGAAACAAAGTGGTCCCGGCATTGAAAAGATCGCAGCAACGGTTACTTTAAACAAATTAGCGTTGTCTAACTATCACATAATTTACTATATCTTTACTGCGATTCATACCGTCATCATGCTGAACCGAATTTCTTACTATTTAGTGCAGTGGACTTGCGCTCTGCATACTTAAAATAACTGTGTAGACTCAGGGTCATCTTAGTATGCAGTCATTATGCAATGTCGCTGAACCTTTTGTAAGGGCATGTAGAATAGGTAAAAATAATAAAGAGTTAATACCATAAACCACCGACCTTTGGGCAGTAGCTATTCATTCGACATGCAAACGGAACATATGTCAGATGAATCCCATAATGCGTTTGGCGGTGGCATTGATGTTGCACTCTTTGTTTTTACTCCTGCTCATCTTCTGACAGCACATACCGCTCTATTCCTCTGACTCGTATCCTTAAATATCATAACTCTGCCTGTAATCCGAGGGCACGGTTTCAAGCCTGTGTAGGGACCAGGCGACCCACGCAGTATCTTTAGCTCACACGTGACTAGTGATGGTTGCGCGTCAGGGTAGGGTCGGTACTGTGTACCGGCGTACTGCTGATGCCTTCTTCTTCGCTCTAATCCTTCTTTTAAGGAGTTATTTCCCATGACGTCGAGTTTTTACATTCATTGATTGATAGACTACTCGATGTAAATGAGTACGGGCTCAAAGTGCAACAGATTGCCCGTCTATGAAAGAGAAGGGAGGGCAAAAGTCGGCCTGTGAGGGTGGCTCTTGTCGAAGAAGCAAGTCAGAAGTTACTCTTGTCCCATCTTCATAGGCTGAAGGGTCTAAAGATCCACGTGCGCGCTGACTTAGACCCAGCAGACAGAGAGAAACTCAAGTCTGCGATGATTAAACTAAAGCGACGCACGGAGGATGGAGAACCAAAACTCCTTATTGCAAATTTTCGGGTAGTTGCCCGGATCCCTTCACGAATCCGTTTCAACAGGTCTCTAATCCTTTAGGCGGGCCCAGCAGTTCCTACCGCGGTCTGCGCGTAGCCTTTACTAACGTGTGAGGTCTGAGGAACAAGCGCGATGTGCTGTACGACTTTGTAAGCTCTCAGCGACCAGATGTATTAATCCTTGCTGAGACTTGGTTAAACTCCGAGATAACCGTCTAAGACGTGGAAATCACCAGCTACTTATGCTTCCGCTGTGATAGACCATCAAGTGATCGCGGTGGCTTTCTACTTTACATAAAGTCTTCCTTATGTGGGAGACTAGTGAGCGCCTACCAAAGCGCTGATGTTCTATATGAGCAGTTATGGTGTTCGATTCACCTCAGACGCTGCGAGTTACTCGTGGGCGTGGTATATCGCAGTTCATTGAACCACAGTTTGGACTGGTTGCCGCATGTCCGCAGCCACATGAGTCGTCAGATGTTCCTACTCATGAGTGATTTTGACTTGCCCCGAATAAAGTGGCCTGAAGCTAAACTTCTCTCTGGCCACTGTGAAGCCGAGAGGAAGTTTACGGAGTTGCTATTTGAAACTGGGGCCACACAGCACATCAACCAACCGACACGCATTACTGCGCGCGCGACTCCATCATGTTTTGACCTGCTTTTGACTAGCTGTGAGCAGGGTGTGCATAACATTCAAGTCTTAGAGCCTCTGGGAGCGAGCGACTTGGCTCATGATTCGGTCTCGAGCTGTCCGTACGTCCATGGGGACAGTCACAGACGCTGGCACAATGCTGGTGCTGTGCTTCACCACCTCACCACATATCCGAACCGAAGATAAGACCGGAGCCGAGGAGCCACTTTCAAACGAGCGGCCAACTCTTCACAAGCAGACGAAGCTCCACATGGACATACCACAGACGTAGGCGTGCTGACCGTACCGTCACTGCGCACTCTTAGCCCGTCACAGACGGCCTTCCTCACCACAACTGTCTTGAGCCAGTGACGAGAATATAAGGTGCACCTGTACATTCAATCGCGCCACACAGGGTGCTCAACAACATCTATCTGAAATGCAAGATTACACATCACGCAGGCAACGTACCTAGACATGCTGAGTAATGATGAAACATACTATTCTATCATACTATCCTCCTCGGCACTGAGAACGCCTGAGCATTCACGATGCATCGACAATCGCAACACTGACATCACTAGTCTGTCATAACTCCCTTCTTATGTCATATTATTTCGGTTGCTAATGCGTGCTGCAGTACGTACAAAGCGTATCTAGGAATTCATTCGATACATATATAGTTGGCTATCGTGTCAATGCCTCGATGCAACATATGCACATGCGTTATCACTAGTGTAGCTGTCACACTGCATAGAGCACATAGACATCATCATCATGTACAACGGTATGGTTGTTGAGTCAGACTACCACTTCGCAGTATGAAAAACCCAAAGATTGAGTTTCTCTACCTTAACGCTAATTTGGATCATTAAGGACATGTGGCAATAGAAGACTGCTAGAGACTAACTACTGTCAGAGAATATGTGCACTGTTGCCTCTACGTAGTCTGTTGAGTAGCTGTGGGAGATCACACTCGAAACAGTGTCCACTTCTGCTCTCTGTGTCTCGACCGCCATGCCAGGCGTGACTACCAAGAACGATTGAGCACATTGTATTGACTGACATCAACTAGTCCCTGCCTGTCAACTCGTTCTACAGTGTTCATTATTGTGCAATTCAAGTACTACTTACTACCCTGACTCTACGTGGCCATAGCATTGCACAGCTTATAGTCATTCAGGCACCATGTACTATACTTCGTCCCATCGATGTAATAACATGTACATCCTAGTGCATCTTTCTTCATCAAAGATTGGCATGTGCAATGCAATCTGTAGTTCTGCACGTCTCTCCATCGTATACGTGTGTTTCATGCCCGATTCAGTATGTGGATCTGGACTTCTATACTCACTCTCTTACTAGCCTGGATGACATGATGCACTATAATCTATGTAATGTCGATTGTTCACTTACACAGATTTCAGGAATTTCTCGATGCATAATCAAGTGTACACGAGACATCGTGAGGTTTAAGTACTTACATGGTACTGTAAACGCAGCAGACAATTTGATTCAACGTATCACGAACTGACATCACATATTGTCACCGATGATCCGTAGTCACACAATCGCTCGAATCGACTCATCAAAAATGAGCTCAAGATGTGACTATTGCTGCCAGCTCTAACTCTATAGATTGACAAAGCTACGTATGTGAGCATACATACTACATAGTGATATGAATCCGGAAACGAAAAGATGTATACTCACTCTCGGTATGTACTACTAACGCCGCTGAGAGGTATAAATAGCTAGCATAATGTGAGTACAATCTGGACACGTGAAGTATCGCTTTACACCGAGTAATAGCTAAAGAGTCCGTTCTAGAGATCACATCACTACAAGTGACTGCCAACCTCATGGTTAATGAGACAAGATGCGCACTTTTTGAATGCGTCACTGGCTCGTGTAAAAGAGCGTATACTCTCCGAGGAAATGGGAGACACACTGCTTTTCCTTCTCGTCGATCGCTTCTGACTATCGTCTAGAATACTCTATGCGCTTCGATCATCACAGTATGCGCTGTCGTCACTGAGACTTCTCAGTGCGTTACGAAGGCGAGTACAGGCTAAAACTAAGTACACTTTCCCTAATCACTCACGATGAATGCATCATTGTAGCGCCGACAGATGCAGATTGAACTAGCGTCCTTAGACTCGTCAGCATCTGTGTCGCATAGATGCACGTCTGTCGGTGAATGTGTGCTATATGTTCTATGCTCAACGTGAGATATCAGACGTACAAGTCCTGTCTACTACTGCATTGCACGGCTTTACACTTGTGGGCACCTGATACACGGCTGCGCACATACGTGCAAGTTGGATGAAAGCAGTGCATCGAGAATTATAAGCATACGCTTCATGTATGCGTTTGGGGACGAACGATAGCTATTAGTAGATGGATCAACAAGAACAGATATGAATACGACAATGCTGTCAGCAGTAGAGATGCACAATAATGTACTAGCAAAATCGCCTTTTATATCGTTGAGTTGCAAGCTGTTTAGCAACTTACAGAATCTGCATATCATATCTCTGAATGGTATGTCGTGACACCTGGCACGATGATTCTCATGAGGATTGTATGGAACACAGACATGCAAGCAATGAACAAACTGCCATGGTTGATTCAATGAAACAGGACAGATAGTATCTAAGGTGAAAAAGGTATGACTCGCAGATGGCGCAGACTGATGAGGATGATATCCTCGAACTGGATATATATCATTAATTACTACATGTGCATACAATCAGTTGTTCTGCTGAGTATTTCATTAATATTTTAACCTACCGTAATTGATATCTTCTAGTTCTAGTGATGTATTTTTAATTGTAAAGGACGTAGCTCTCCGACTTATCTCGATAATGCTGACTATCCTACTCAGTAAGAGCGATGTTCAGCTGATATAACCCATTATTGTACTATAGAAACATGTAATCAACAGCATGTTATCGCTAGTCTGACTTGCGGATATCAGCTACACGAGAGCCAACGTTGACACTTCACAAATGGTCTTACATTCAACTCATCAGCGAGAAGGTTAGTAATTCAGGATATTGTGTCACTACACCAATTGTCAAGTACGAACATTGATATCAGCAACCGCTGTCCAGGAGTAGGGGTCATGCGGTACTACTTCTGTTTTACGGGTGCTCATTGGCAGCTGAACACACTCACTCCACAGATCACTCACTGAAGGACTTAATGTCGAGCGAGCAAATACTGGTCTTTACCACAGGATT